CAATCAGCCAGCGGTCGACCGTGCAGCTACCTACACAGTCCCGCTAAAACTGCCTCTATTGTACAAGGTTCAGAGCAGCAGCGTACGCCTACGGACGCAATGGACCCTGTGAAAATAAAATGTGTTTACCGCCAGTGTCTTCTATTTCTAACGAGGGTGTCATCGCTACCCCAGTTGTAGTTGGGCCTATGTGGACATGGGAATTAAAATGTTATCAAACCCCGGGGTTGCTTATTCTCCGGTTCACAGGCGCATGCTACCGCGGAATGCCATCGTCCTCCGAGATTGGTCAGACAACTTAGTGACGGCCAAAGTTTTCGCCTCGACACCTGTAGGCTGTACCACATCTGATTTAGATTTAACCAGCACTTTCTTCAGTCAACGGTGTTACCTTATGGACAACTTACCATAGAATGAGGTTTAAGGCGGAGATTTTCTTTTTCCACAGAGTGCCAAGGTTGATCTGACTATGAAGGTCATAGTACGTGGGAGTAAGTGATTAAAATGGCACCCACTGACAGCCCGTTTCTGTCCTTTACCTCGCGCGAGGTTCTGATACCAAATTTACAACGTAACCTAGTAGCGGAATTGCAGAACTATACTACTAATTCAATGGAAGATATTTTGAATAGATACCAATGCGCGTTCTCGTGAGCTGACGGCGATCTAGTAATGTGTACCATTATACAGCACTGCATGGAAACTGACAAAACGCTACCAATCCGACAACCGCTACGGCGTTTTCCGGTTCGATTGTTGAAAGAATTGGAGCACGTCATAGAGTATGTGCTGAAAAGTAATATTATTAAACTGTACAAGTCACCGCGATCATGCCCCATTTTCCTGGTCAAAAAATGGCAGTAAACTACGGCTCTGTGTCGAATGTCGTAGACAACAAGCGGTTACGCGAAAGGTTTCATTTTCCCTGCCAAGAATGGGTGAAAAGATGAACGCGCTTACTCGGCTCGTTGATTTAACACTTTGAACTTGGTGTCTGGCTACTGGCAGGTTGAGCTGCACCCGGACGACGAGTGCAAGTTCGCTTTTCTCGTATCATCCTGTCTGTAGGAATTTCTGATTATGCCCCTAGGGTTACTTAATGCGCCAGCCAAGTTCCAGCGCTTTATGCACCCCACTTCAGCCAAACTCATGCCACAGCATAGTCTACTTAGACGATGTTAGTATTCACGGTAAAACAAAAGAACAGCACAACGAAAGTCCGACGCTGATCTTAGATTGTTTGGTATAGCTGGGTTAGAACTGAAACCTTTTAAGTGCCAGTTCCTAAGGAATCAAGTGGCCTATCAGGGCCACATTGTTTTGGAAGAAGGATTACACCGTGAAACGAACAATGTCGAGCGCGTCAGCTTGTGGTCAATTCCCAAGAATGTTGACGAAGTCCGCAGTTTCCTTGACGTTGCGTCAATGCCAAGCGCGAGGTCGTTAATGAAGAGCAAGGATATGCATAGCACCAACTCCGAAAATTGTAGCTCGCAGTCCACCTCATTGGGCTTAGACAATGAGCCCCGAACCCGAGCGTGAAGCCTCTCTGATGAAGGAACGTTGTGATGCATACAATAGTTGGATTCCTTAATCAATAGATTTGCAACTTTTAGAGAAAGATGCAGCGATCTAAGCGATTGAAGGCTTCAGGAATGCCCAGATAGACGACATAGATTATGGTCCCACTATTCGCTGTTTCGGTTAACTGAAACGCCATTAGTAGGTCTGGGGTAAACTACCGATTTTAACGAAAGCCGTGCTACCCTTGAACAATAATGTTTTGTCTGTCTAAATTGCCTTCAGCTTTGATCGAATCTATCAAATTTGAGAGTAGTTGGAGGAAAATTACTGGGTGATATTTGGTTGGTTTCGAACGGTTATTTCACTTATGAATCGGAGTAATGATACTCTGCTTCCACATGTTATGAACTTGCCGTTAACTCAAGAATCTAGGAAAATTCGGATTACTGAATCCGTTATCCTCCCAGCTATCACCTGCAGTGCTTTCGGGTGAATTTGGTGGTAGCTTCCTCCAAACGGTGGCTGAAATAAAGTGACGCCAGGTGGATTCGAGCATATTGTTGCAGTAGAACTTTGTCCACATCCTCTTTGCTTCTAGCCCTTCATTTTTCTGAAATTAGTGTGAGAACGTTGTGCTTTACCTTCCAGCTTTTGTCCACGTTTTATGAGTGGATTGTTATTGTTACAAAACCTTATCGTTGAATCTTGTTGGTGTACAACTATGTCCTCGTGGACAAGCGTGGTATAGTGGTTACATTACATCAAATATTTGCTCAAGTTGATTGGAACATACTTAGCTCCACTCACTCCACGCTGCTCTGTTACGACCATACGTTTTCAAATTCTGCCCTGAATGAATGGTAGTTTTCATGCAGCAAGAAAACGCCTGATTTCCGACGAGGATGTGATTAGATCACAGTACTTGCCAACAAGCGGAATCCATATTTGAAAGTACTCCAATTGTTTCGATGGAGCCATCATCCAAATATTCCAGGACTGATTCTCCAACGAGTTCTGTTAGTAAGTCGTAAGATGGGAGTGTATGATACATATCAACACGTCCGGGTGATACTCGGCATACCACACATAATTGTAATATATGATAACATGATCACCAAACCCCAGAGCATTCTCTATCATATGTTACTCGATCATGAGCTATGTGTTGGTAAGCAAGACACCAGTCACTGCTGGTTAGTTATCCTTTCTGTATCTAGTGGGAGAACTGCCTTGATTAAGTGCAGCATGATTGCAAGAAACTATTGCAGGTAGGCTTGGCATTGCTCGCTCGCGTATGCCAGCACTTTCAGATGGTGGACAGTGAATTCGCCTGAGATAAGAAATGACTGTATCTTGGTCGCAGAGTTCTACCCAAGACTAATCTCCGGTTTCAGTATATCTCTGGTGTAGAGATCGGGGAGTTCATACAAAAGCCACAAAGCAATTGTTATTGTGTCTCATTCGCAGACGACATTAGAGTAAATATGTTTCTGGATCATCCACCAATTCGCACTGTAGGTCACTGAGGTAGTGCAAAATATCCCTACCTACCAAACTGAAGCAGTCCATTTTTACAAGGGATATACCACGTATCGACGTCCGTAATTCCTGATTACAATCATGCTTCCATTCCTAAGATGTGGTTCCAGGTGTCGCCGCAGTTCAACAAGTTATTTTACTAGGCCTTGCATATATGATCGACGTTTACCCACGTTTCAGTGTGGTAATGAATTGTAATTTAGTTAGTAATTCTCGAGAACTAGCTTGCATTCTACTTCAGCATAACGCTATGTAAAGTACAAGCATTAACTAAAGGAAGCAGGTATCGTGAAACAATGGTTGAATAAGATAATAGGTGGAAGTCCAACAAATCTTAAACAACACTTGCCATCTCTTCTGGAAGTCTGTGCCATGTTTACTTTGCTGATTCGAAATGGATGGCTTTTTATCCCAATTACTAACATACAACTAGGTGAATATCACTAGGATTTTAAGCAGTTCAGATTTTGTTCGGGACTAAATTAAATGACAAGTGCTGTACCAATTTTAGGCACACCGTAAAGTGCTCCAGCACTGAGTATACTAATGAGTCAACACCATCTTACATCTTTTCCTTCACCTCTCTATACCACTTCCTTCGTGCCGTCGTTTAGTTTGATCAACAGCACCATCCTGTCTTTAAACTAGATGAACTAAACTATTCACAACAGCCTATGTGAAACAATTCGTAAATTGATCTTTCCGTAGCAGTTCGGAAATATCGAGTGCCAACAAACTGCAAGTTTCACACGTTTAACCCACTAACGAAGAGTCAACTAAGCACATGCATGCCGATAGGAGTGTACCTGCACAAATGGTTGTGAGCATCTATTGCCTTTGCACAAACAACGACTTCATCGAACGATTGCTGCTTCAAACAGCACCGGGTATGCTTTCTTTTGATTGTATGTGTAGAACAGTAGGAGAGCTCTGCTCTTATGAGTGGACTAGTAAACAACTATATTTTTGGATTTTCGTGTTGTATTTCTATTATATTTTGTTGGCAAATTACGGCAACATTCATTACTCAATCACAATAAACCGGGATAATTAAACATAGGTATGTGCGTAGTCCATATTTATAGAGACGAATGGCCAACTGCCGGAAAGGCTTTATACGCCAGACCAAATACAAACGAGAAACAATGTTGTTAACTGCTCGGATGATCACTATAGTTGGTCACTAACGTTCTATAACTAGTACTCCACTATGTCCATAATTTTTTCGGAACCTGTTTAGCCCATTATATCACAAGGACTTTAATGAAACAGTTAACGTATTCTCAAGCTCATCTTTCTCGATTTACGTAATGTCCCCTGCAACCATGAGACAACAATAAGGTACTGCGAAGTAGGGCCTTTTCTTTACGAAAACACGGCCCGCTGCTCTATCAAAGTGCTGTACGTCAACCGCAGCGGTCAAAGCTGAAACGTCGGTACCACATGTATTTCTCTATGGTTATTCCAAATGCATCAAGGTTTCAGTATAGCTCTTTTAGACACTATAAAGCCTACATCCAATGACTACTTTGAGTAACAATTGAGTGCGCTCTTCTTGTAGTGCATGTGCAATAAGTTTGTAATCAAGTGATAAGCCACATTAGTCACCTGATGCAGCTTAATCCACGCAGTTACATCTTAACTGGTCCTCGCCTGAACCCATTGGTCCTATAGCGGGAGCACTGATTTGATTTTGTCGTTATGGCCAGTAGCGGCCATTAATTACTTGGCTCAATCACCTGCGCTGGCGGTTGGACTCATTCTGATTGGTGAGTTGAGGCGTGTGAGCTATACACACGTACTCGAATGCACACATATTGGTGTGCTTATGGCTGCCTGCAGCTGACGCCGACTTTGTACCTATAGCGACAAGTTCTGGACTTGTTCATCTTGTGACCACCAGTTCAAATAGTCAACCTGCCAGGCTGGAGCGAAACATGCACCCTTGTAGTATCGTAGCATCATTACTCATCATTACCCAACAGCCATTTAACACGGTCCGTGCAGCATGTCTGAGTAAAGAACAATTCGTAGCCTCTTTGGATCAAAAGAGAACTTTGGTGTTCGAGGCTGTTTTACTTCAGAACACTGCTGGATTGCCCCACTCTGATGGCTTCCAAGCTTATGTGCAAATCACTAAAGTTATTCAGCAACCAGGAATTGGTTGGCATCTGACGCCTGGAAGTGTAGCCAAAATTAAAGGAATTAGGCCTCGTTCGGTGGACTACACACTCTGTCTACCTCAGCCTGTTAATGGTGAAACTTATTTGTGGGTGACCTGGAGTAATACTAGGGGTATTCAAAACACCGAAGGTGCTTTAATGTTTTATCCTGGAGGACTGTTTTACTTGGAAACGACGAAGCAAAACAAACTGATAGGTAAGACTCACATTTTGAGCTATAAACGTGTTCAGTTCCAACGGAAAGTATACCCTTCTTTCATGTTATCCTATTCAGAAGTAACAAATTTCAAGAAATTTAAATTACCTAGGACCAAAACCACGTAATTTTTGCAAACGCACGCATGTTACAGGTCTAAAATAACAGCATCAGCTGTCAGCTGATTAATGTAGTAGCTCTTGGCAAACATTGATGTTCTTCTACTTTCAACTTACGAAATCGATGTATTGTTCCTCAGTGACGACCACTTAGTTTTCATTGCAATAGCTTGCCGGTAGAAAAAGCTACACCTGAATAATAGTTGATGACAACTTCGATATGAACCTGGTGCACGTAGTCCACTCGTTCAACAAAGAAAATTCATCTTTGTGTTGTCAATTGCACTGCCTTAATTCCGCTACGGGTGCAAGCCAATAACATCAAATCCGCATAATGCCCTGTTAACAGAGATGTGTCCACCTTTCAACTTCTTCAAATCGAAAGTTTATAGAGGTCCGGCCCTCCTATCGGCTGCCTTAGCGCACAAGCAGTAAAATGAGACGAAATCATCCACGAGTATCACTGAAACTCGTATAAGTAGGAAGTAAGCAAACATATCAATGAATAACTTATAACAATGAATGCTTGCTTTCGCTGGGCTGAGCTCAATAATTTATAAATGCTTTAGCATCATTATCAAAAACAGTAAATTAGTGCCTTGCAGGTTTGTTTCGCTCTCACGCAACAGCAGTCTCCTTACTAGCTACGCAGAACACTGTGTGCCCTATGACTTTTCAGTGCTAATATGGGCCATTCATCTTCGAAGCGCCCGAAGGCTATCAAATTGCACGACCACTGTGCAAGACCACTTCCTTACAGCGTTGTCGACCAGTACTATACACACTTTTAGAAAAGAATTTGAGTATGAGTTGTTAATTAATGCGCCAATGGTGCGTGTCCCGATTTCTTTCCCAGCTAGCGAAGAGTGGGTTGCGTTCTTGATAACAGGAAGGTTAGAATGACCGGTGACAGTCAATGAATTCAATGCCCTCTGCTAGACCAATCCTTATTCACCTAGAGCATCACACTATTATGGGTCTATTAAGCAAGCTGATGCTCTTCCAGATAAGCAATATCTTCAAGTCTCTCACAAGGAATTCCTGAATAGCAGTAATGCTACAGATAACAATGGGAGTCAAGTACAATGCCATCTAAGTTAAGCTGATGGTGTTTATTACCACCAAGAAGGCAATCGCCTTACTTGAATGCTGTCATAGTAATAAGTTCTACGCTTCGATATATTACAGACAACATAAATGATTGCGGACTGGTATTGTAGAAACGGATAGTGACTGTGTTGGCATTTTGCATTTCAGCTGTAAGATGTTCTGAACCGTCTGTCGGAGTTCAACTTATGCCATTACACACTGAGCAGGTAACAGCAGCTAAACAACTACACCGCTTCAGAATGAAGAATACGATAAGAACTAAAGCGAAGGTGCTGCTTCCGATTTCCAGCATTCGCCAGATAGTTAACATTAATCGAACAAGTAACAATGATGCATCTGATGAAGTCGTTTACTATACCCGCTTCCTTAATTGCTTGAGTTTACGGACTCAACAGACCAGCAGGTTTATGTTGTAAGTATTGTTTTACAAGGTCGCAGTACTCTCGGATTTATAAGCGCTTATTTTCCTACATTACGTTGTAAGCTGTGCCAATTTCTGGTGTGCTAGTGAGCTGCTCATGCGTCCTGCATGGCATCTTGAATTCTACCACATGGAGACTCGTCGTCTTCAGTGAGGTAATCTGAACATAGTACGTAGGGCATGCTGCTAGGTTTACCTAACTGTAGGCCAAATTATCTTCAAAGTAACTAGTCGGATGCCAGTAGCATCGAATTCCCATAAATTTCAAGGAATGACAACCGTGAGATGGGACATGACCAGATTTGTGGAAAATGCTTCAGATTTTACTGTGATTATTTGATTCCGTCTCTGGTCAGATTCGGATAAAGACGGCATGCGCATTACTGCAGAAAAAGCACTGTAAAGTTACCTTTGAAAACAATTGCTGCTTTGGTTACATCTATAAAGCAAGCTCGCATTCTACAGTGAGTTCAGGCATAAACGAAAACCAGCCACCTCCAGACAGGCTAATCCATGTTTATATACGCTGCAACACGAACTGTAGTTGAAGTTTGGAGCTAAGAAGTAGAGCACTAAATTTGAGTAAAGGGAGCTTGATGCAGTGTTACGACTAAAAGTATCTGCAACAGGTCTCAGTTACAAACAAGTTTTGTTTTAGAACTACAGAGTTAGTTTTCTATTTTGATCGTACCAAACTGGTGGCATGTAGACGCCCGTCTAGGGAACACGTTAGACCTTGTGGATTCAGCTCTGAAGATGAAGATGATAAACGTGAGGTTGGCACAACACAGCCTGTAAATTTGTGCAACCGATGGCGACAATGTGGACTTTCCTTAATTAGTTTGAATACTGCGGGGTGATTGTGGAGTTCAGTTTCCTGAGAGCAACACAAGTCAACATAATAGTTTGCCCTGTTAACCCTTCTACCCTAAGAAGCGAATGTTGAACCACACAGACAAACCAAGTAGATTGTTTGCTGTGTCCCCACCGACGGGTAACGTTGGTTCATAATTGTAGATAGTAGCAAGTTGGTGGAAGTGCAGATACCAACAATTACTTTGGGCATTATGCGAATTAGGTTCATAAGGTGGGTTGAGGGTTAGGAAGTGGAAATAGCTGATCAAATAGAGGGGGTGCTCTCAACAGCACCATGTTATGTTTTAGCCGCCAAGACGTGTTTAACGGAGAGAGTGATACCTAAAAACTGTAGAGTTTTGGGCGCATGATTGGCTGAACGTGGAGGTAACAAGATAATAAGAATTCTCCGTGAACCAGGCTGAATAGCGAATGAAGTGGAACAGTCAAATTTTGTTTTAGGCAATCAAGCACCGGCATAGTATAAAACACTTTCGTTTACTATTGTGTTTACCGATTTTGTAAGCAGCGATCCTTCTGAGGAAGTTCGTAAGAAAAACCTCTATTCTTCACAACTTACAGCAAAGATGTGGTGACATATTCAAAAGTTCTTGCTATATTGGATTTCCTTCACCATAATGTTCAAGATATTGTACGGACCTAAAGCGTAAACTGCGAGCATTCCGTTACGTTCTGGGTATTTTGCCTAAAGACGAAAACAGTTTTGACGACCCATTTAATTACCTCACTCTTACAAACTTGTGATAGCCAACCGTTAATGAATTTGGTGGTAGAAGCATTCTGATTAAAGTAATCACCTAAATGGTTACGTGCCCCAGCGCGAAACTCCAATCTCCTTCACAAAACTGGCTGATTTGGCACGTTTGACATCAACTGTGCAGCAACTGTTTAACCGCAAAGCCCACAAATGGCTCTACCACAGTAACTCTTGACTGTTGGCCATTAATGTAAAAAGCACAATATGAAGGCACTGGCTGCTTCAATTCTGTTAATATCCGGATCACCAGCAATATTTGTCAGTGAAGGGCTGATGCACAGCAGTACACTAAAGCAAAACAGTATGCGCATATGCTTTTTGGATGCCTTGCAAAGGTAGGAACCCATACCAATATTCGCAGTTCAGTTGGCGTTATTCGCGGTTTGTAATCAAAGGAGCACATAAGTCACATTGCAGTAAAGCAGATAGAAACGCAAAACTTCATTACATATAAAATTGTCTTTGGGGTATAGCATCAAGCGTTCCCCCAAAATATAACGCGTTTATTAACGAACCACGTACTTTTGCTAATTCACCTATTCTGGTCAGTTTGTCCGTGGATGCTGTTGTAATTGTGACCACCATGAACTCTGCCTGTGAACCACTAGTATCATGAACATTGCCTCTGCTAAGGTACGGTTAGTAACTACGCTAATTGCTCCTGTGATACATCTCGAACTATGTCGCGGAAGCTTTAGAAAATATTGCAAATTTATTTGTATATCGGAACACTACCCAAGACCCCATTGTTAAGTTGAAAGCTTGCAGCTGAAAATGAGAAAATTGTTAAGGTTAGTTGGATGATGATTTTGCTTCCACGTACCTTTGCTTCAGTACTCATCTTTTGGAGAATACGCTACCTGCGTTTAGATTGGAGTACTTGCGATGCTCAATTCTTTCGCAACATTCATATTTGTAAGCAGCTCGCAAATAAGTAAATAAGAAATATACGCCTATTTCGCATTGAGCAACAAATGGCACTGTTACTTTCATGGTACTTCACCTCGCAAAGGGTTATAGAGAAGGCTTAACATTTTAGATTGAAGTATAGGAGACCTATGTTGTATAAGGTGTAATGGTTCATTGTGCAAGGCTATGAGCATCAGGAATATTTGACAGTACTGCATACGGTTAAATTTCTTAATCGTCGACATTTTCTTAGGGCTCTGTAGTGTAACTGACTCAGTTCCATATTATATCGCGATCACTGCAATTAACGAGCCAAGTAGCTCAATTCGTGAAAGCTTTAAAAGGCGCACTTATAAAGGATCCAATAGTTGGCGACAGTCTACTTTAACAACCTATTTGATATCATGCCAAAAATAGTAATAAAATCTAAGGGGAGACTCCATTCAGAACACTCCATAATGACTTTATACGGAGCACTTGCTACAGCATGTTATGTTGCGCTCACATACTGATCAAGGGTTTAGTTCTTTTGCATGCGCCAGTGTGACACTAATTTTTAAGCAAATTACGGTATGAGGATAATCCGTTAACAACCTTAGAAGTTGAGCCTCTTTTCCTGTTTTAAAATTACTAGCAAATTTTCCGTTTATGGTATTTGTTTAGTTTTAGTATTCGATCTCTGGACCATCCGAATGATTTTATTAGGCTAAGGAAACAGACTTATTACTACACTTTCGTACTCAGGCGATCAGATAATCAAGAGGAAAGAGTATTCACGTAACTACACATTTCTTTAATATTGTAAGCC